TTTATTTTAGTACTTCTGTACTAAAATATACAGTTAAAATTATTAATAAAGATATGAGCAAGGCCTCATCTTAATACTAAAAAAAAACCAAAAGCCAAACACAAGCAGTAACTAATACAAAGAACATGTATTGTGGTATTTAATTTATCAATTATCAATTGTTTTTTATAATCTCACTATAAATACTGTTGCAAGGTATACATTTGATCTATTAAATTATTCTATATTTATATAATTATATTTGTTAAATTATATAAAGAAATATAGTATATCTAATTAGATTTGTTTAAATAACTCAGAACTGCTGTTCTAGATCATTTAGACTAACCCAATCAGAAAATATAACTTTAGGAATAACTATATTAAAAACAAACATGCAATTATATCATAGATTTTATTTTAATATAGGTTTTATTAACAAAATTTTCAATAAGTAACTTGATTTCATCAAAAACAATATATCCATATTCATTACAAGTTGAACACAATCTACCAAGATTATCTTTATAAAGAAATCACTTGTCTTCAAGTTATATTATAAATGATGTTTGTTACATATTATTAGAATAAGTTTTAGAAAACTTTTTTTAAAGATTTTTTTTTGTATCATGCAAATAAAGGACAGATAATTCTGAATTTGATTCAGTTTTATAAGAACTTGAATTGACATTAGCTTTGTCAGAAAAAAATTCTTCAAATTATGCAACTATTTTAGATATTATTTTAATATGAGATATTTCTGGTTTTTGAAGTAAAGTTGCACTATATCTATTAATTTACCCATATTTTTTAGCTTTTGAAATAGTATGTCTTCCTACCTTAATTTAAATTTAAGTTATAATATTAGTATCATTATATACTAATAAATTTTAATTATACACAGATATATACTCTTAATTTTTGCTAATTTAGCATAAATAAATTAATTAGCAACTATAAATAATATTTGTTGCTTTTTATTATAATTTTTTTTATTATTTTCTAAAGCTTGATTAAAGCATAACCAAAATGTTTGTATAAAATTATGCATATATGTTGATGTGGTATTTAGAAATTTAGCAGCATGTAAGGATGCTAAAGTATCTTTATCTTTTGTTAGATTGGTAGCTTTTGTCCATAATTGATACTAGTATTATATAATTAGTAACTTATTATATTATATAGATTTTATATAAAAAAAAAAAAAAAAAACCTTAGATTTATCTTTTGAAAAAGAAGTAATATTGTAATATCTCAATAATCATAGCATAGTTTGCTATGCTTCAATTTTATGCTTGCTAAAAACATGTCATATTGGATATACTAATTTAAGAAAAGTATATAGTTCAATAATATTGCCTTTTTGTTTTATCTATTCTTGAAATATATGATACCAATTAATATTTGAAAGAGTTCTTTTTTTGAGATAATATTCATATAAAGTTGTTATTAATAGTAAATTCATTCAATTTATTAGTTTGCATGTTAGAATATCAATATATTGTTTTTTAAGTAATAGCTATGCATAGTTATTTGTAAGACCAAAAAGCTCTATTTCATCAAACTTTTCAATAAACCCAGAGTTTTTCCATACATTAGATAGTGTAGAATTATAGAAAGTTTTTATTTTGCTTACATCCTGATATAATTTAATAACACACTTATCTTCAAGAATTTTTGAAACAAAAACTGCAAGTTTCTTATTATAAGGGTGAATAAGTAATGAGCAAAAACCAGAACCAGCATTGTGTCAGTCTGCATTAAAAGAAACACCAATACTATAAATAAAAATTTTATATTTTAAAAAAAAAACTTGGTGTGGATAAAAATTAATATCAGTATATAACTGATTTATGATATTTTGATTATTTAATTCAATAACCATAGATCCAGAATACTGTATTGTAGTATTAAATAATTTTTGATCTAAAGAAGAAATAGCTTTTGTTAGAAATATTTCAGTTATACTTTCACTATCAGATATACAACACCAACCAGATTTTAACTGATGTTCACTATTACCAACTACAATATAAATAATAAACTTGTAATCATTAAGATATATATATATTGTTTGGCCAACATAAATAAGAAAAAAATTTTCTTTATCATTGCCTGATCTAGTTTTAAAATTCCACTAAAATCAAGAATAAGGCCTATAATGAAGATATTCTACTAAAATGCCTAACAAAATTAAAGTAACCTTAGTATCCAAATGTTTACTCATTGTAATCAAAAAATAAAAATCAATCTTTAGTGCTGGTATACATATATATATATATCTAAATGCCAACCTTATCTGTATTCATAATAATTTTACACTATCACTATTGCTATCTCTATTATTAAAACTAGAATCTAAAGTAACAATTATAATTATAACTAAAATACAAAATCTAGTCACGTTTATTTTACTAATTTAAACTATCTAAATAAAATAGATATTTAAATGCAATATATGACAAAAAGTTTGTTATTATTTAAGTTACAAAATTAAAATTTTATTATATAAAAAAAGTTCAAATATTCTGGTGTATCTAATATTTATTGTTAATAAAAATTTTAAATAAACTAATATTACAATTTTGCTATTGCTATTTACTAAAAAAAAATATTATATTAATAAAAAAAAAAACTTAGTTAAAACTTTTAAAAAAAATAGCTTCACTTAGACTAAGTTAATTACATAGCATCAGATTATTTAGTATATTGTATTTTCATTACTTCTGTACTTATATCTTGTGGTCTTATAATTTAATAAAGTAATTTTTAAATATTCAATTCATCTTGCTAAGACAAACTTGTTCTAGTTTTTATTATTGTTTCATAACAATGATAAGACAAAAAATTTGTATACTACAATACTCCTATATTAGAATATGTAACTTTTTATATAGTATAGATTTTTAATTTAAAATTGTTATATATTATACAAGTAATAAATTTAATATGTATTATATATAGTATAGCAATAACTTTCTTATTATATTAATTATGCATATATTATATTAGAGTTTTAAATAATAGTATTTATAATTAGATTTTAGCATATTATAAATACTATAGTATAATTGTCTCAAAATTTATTATTATTCAAATATAGTAATTGTGCTGATCTTATTTGAATTAGCAATTAACAGTCTTCTGCTATTAGTTGGAATTAGATATCTGTTATCTGTGTTATACTAGCATGAATAAAAGGTTACATAGCATTTATGCAATAGTTATAATTTATACAAAAAAATACAAACCAGTATCAGATAATGTAAATCTGTAATAAGTTTCTGTAGTCATGTAAATTACAGAAACTAAGAATACAGAAGTCTACTTAGAAGACCTGAATAGAGAGGTAGTTTAAACTTTTAATAATGCTACTGTAAAGACTAAATCTATAAAATAGAGCTAAAACTTATAAAGCTAGATAAAGACAAGTCAGTTTTTGGAAAAGCTGTTGCAACCAGTCAGGCTACTAAGATCTATTCTAGAAAAAAAGGTTATATGCTAGAAGAACATGTAAATCAAATATATAGTTGTATTTACCTTTTTGAACTATCTGAACTAAGAGCCTGATAGAACTTGAATTGAATATTAATAGTATAAAAGAACTTGCAAGAGTATATAAAGTACTAATGAAGTTGTAAAAAAAGATACTAAGATTGTATAAACTCTAATTGCAAATATTAATCTTAGCTATAATAATACTAAGTTAGCTAGAAATTAAATAACAAAAGGTTTTAATAAGTTTAATACAAATTCAAAAATTTTTTATATAAGTAAACTGCTTTAAAGACCTAATAATTATGATATATTTATATTGATGAAAACTAAAACAGTTGATAAGATAGATAAATAAATAAATATAAAAGCCAAAATATTAAATAAAGAACTTACAAACAGGTTTTAAGTATAGCAGCTAGTATAAAACCTTTAGGTAGACTACTTAAATTAAATAATAACCAAAATTATACAAATGATTAGTTATTTATTCTTTCTATAATTGCTCTTTGTGGCTGTTGTAATACAAATACAAAGTTGAAATATACTATTAATAAAAGTCTAAATTACAAATACTTATTTATTATTAAAAAAAAATAAAAACTTTGAAAGATATTTTTTTTTTATTAATATAATATCAAGTAGGAAAATAATAATACATGAGTATACCAATTAGATATAATGTATAACTAAAGAATTATTTCTAAACTATACTATTGTTGCTATGTATATCTAACTACATCTAGTGTGATATGATTCTTTTATTTTCTGTTATTAGTTAAGTTAACTATTGTTAATATTTAACTACAGAAAAAGTAGAGAACCTCTTAGAATTGTTAATTTAATAAAAGCAAATATGTATAGTGAAATTTTAAGAAAGAAGTTTAATAATAAAAGAATCTACATTAGTGTTGAAAATAAAAGTAGTATTATTAGAGTTTGTTAGTTTTAAGATAGATAAATGAATGTTGTTTTTCCTTTTTGTTGAGGCAGTAATTCCTCATGCTAACTCTTACTCATATTGTTTAATATTTTGTATTTGTCAAATGGTAGAGTTGAACCAAGTAAGTATTAAGCTTGATAATGCAATAAGAAAATTATTAGTTGATTTTTTTAGAATAGGTTGTAGTTGTTTGTAATAATCTAGGGTTAATGTACCCTAAATGAGTAATAGTAGTAAGTTATTTGTATTGAGATTTGAAGAAGGGTTATTTAGAATTTGTGTTATTGTATGTAGTAATGTTTTTGATAAGTTTAGAGAGTTTAAGGTACTTGTTATATTGTTGGTAAGGATAATACTATATTTGGATTATGTAAATGAAGAGAACATTTTAATAAGTGTTCAGTATTTTTATATTGGTTACAAAATAAGCAGTTCAGGGTTAGATAGAGAGTAAGATAGTGAATATTTAAATTAGACATTGTTGGTAAGTTGTTGAGTAGTATTTTGTTTCTAAGTAAATATAGATTTAGATTGGAGTTTTAAGAATTAATAATCTCAGTTAGTAGTTGAATATTTATAGTAGAAAGGTTCCTTAATGGTTTAAGTTAGAAAAGTTTGTTAAATGTTTGAATTGATAGTAAGTTTTTACAAAATTTATATAATTTGTATATAATTGGGATTTGATTTCAAATAAAGAATAAAGGAAAGTGAAAGTAGTCAAGATTAAGTTCAAGCTTAGTTTTGCTAGCTCTATGTTTAGCTAAAGTATCAGCTATATTGTGTAGTATGTTATTTAAATGTAATTTGACTTTGTGCATAATATAATTGATGTTTTTGTGTTTAGTTAAGAAGTTTAGAATGTGGATAATGTTCCAATTATTTTGTTTGGTTTGTGAGTTGTAGTTGTAAGGTATTGAGTATATAAGAGTTTTGATAATAAATAAATTATCAAGATGAATATAAATTTAGTATTTAAAAGGTAAAATAAGAAATAAAGAAATAAGAGTTGCTAGTTCTGCTTTTGTAAAGTTTGGCATATAGGAAATAGATGCATTAAATTTAAGTTGTATATTATTTTCAAGTATCCAAGTAATACCAGTAGAAATATTATGTGTTTGTGAGTTTATTATTGAGGCATCAGTATAAAAATAAAGGTTGTTTAAGTTAATTTGTAGTATTTTTTTGTGTAGGTCTATAAGTTGATTTTGGTATATTGGATTAAGTATTGTGTTTTGGATTAGAAGAATTTCTGAGAAGAGTAGTAAGAGTATAGAAAGAGTTTGCAGAGCTGGCTTATATAATTCTGCATATATGTTTTGGAGTGCTTGAATTTCTTGAGTATTAATATTGAGTTTGAAATAGTGTTTTCTTTTTTGTGTTTAGCATTCAAGGTTGATAGTTTGTTTGTAATTTAATTAAAAATTTGTAGATGTTGAAGAAATATAAATTGTGTTATATGTTGTTGTAGTAATTTGGTATTTTTAAAGAACTATTTGGAATTAAGTATGTTTATTATTTTGCCAATATGCCAGTTTTCAGGTAAGATGTAAAGTGCCCATGTATTTTTAAGACTGTTGTATTGAGGTGTAATTAGGTTAAGTGTATTTAGAAATGGATTGATTGGTTTAAGTTGTAGATTAGACCATATATGTTGAATAGTGAAGAAAAATATTTTATTTGAGATTATTTTAAACCAGTTTGAAATAGGACCTTAAAAAATTTATAGGTTCTAAGGTAGATATTTTTTTAAAGAAGTAGATTATGATTATCAGATATAAGTAATTATTCAAGGAAAAGGATTTTATTGTTTTTAAGACTTAATATTGTTAGATTATCTGGAAGTAGAATGAAGTTGTAAATGTTGTTTAGTTGATTAGTTTGTTTATAGGTTGTTAACTGATGAAGTAGTAAGTTATTAAGAGAAATATTATTTTTATAAAGATAAAATAATTGTGATATTATAGTGAAATTAGAAGTTTTCCTATAATTTTTAAGTATTGTATCTTGAGATAAAGATGGCTTTCATATTTTAGAAAGCCATTCTTTGGTTTGATATATAGAAATTTGATTTAGAAGTGTATTGATATTGAAGCATCATTCTATGTTACTGCTACCAACTTGTAACATAAGTTTGCTGAGTATTAGAATATTAAGTAATTGTAGGTTAGTAAGAATATCATTGTTTGTATTTGTAAATAGGTAAAGCATATGTTTAGTGCATTTTGTTAGCATGCTTAATAGTTGCTAAAGTTTGTTTTGAGGAGGAGAACAAATTTGAAGTAGGTACTCTAAAGATGATGATAGAATAGTATTAAATAATCATGATATTTGTATAGGAAGAAGTTTTTTGTATTGAATGATGTAAATAAATTGGGAGGTTTTGTTAAAAATTTTGTTAAGAGTGGGTTTAGTTGAGCCTTTTCTATCTAAAAAAATTCCTAAATATCTGATTGTTTTGTTAGATTTGTGAGATATAATTGGTTGATAGTTAAAGATAAGTGGTAGAAGGTTTAGAGAATTGTTGTGAAGTGTTTTATTTTTTGGTAGAATATAAATAAGATTAGATTTAGATGGGTTAATTTGAATGTTATTTAGTTGGTAAAGATCATATTTATCATCTAATATATTTTGTAGAACATTTCTGGATTCACAGTGCTATACTGTATCATCCATGAAAACAAGAGATGGTATTGTTGAAAAAGTTGGCAATGTTAAAAAAATTTTTTCTAAAAGGAATTGTGATGAGATTTTAAGGAGTTTTAAGCTATATTTAGAGTTTATTTAACTGA